GGAGTGCAACCTGACATCAAATTTAAATGTCGTCTTACACAATATAACAAAGGAATGGGTTTAAAAAAACAGCAGACTCTCATGTATTTAAAAAAAACTCTGTCAATGCTAATATTTTAATACAGGAAACATATTTTTATTAAAGAAGGAATACCAGTTATCCATGAGGCAAACCCTACTTATAGTCTTATTGTCCAAAACAGACAATGTGTTCATCTGCAGTTTTTGTACATTTGCACAGATCTCTTAACATCACTTAAAAGAAATCTAATCTAGCTTCATAACCCATGTTTTGTTTAATAAGAGCTTTAATCAGAATATTAGACATAAAGAATAGAATAGAAAAGAACAGGCCAGAAGATGAAGCATTTACTGTGATGTTGAGAAATATATCATTAGGTTTGGTCAACTGTTCTGTACAGTGAGCTACATAAAAACAGAAACGGGGAGACACGCACACTCACACAATGAGGGCATAATAGCACTTAAATTGAACATATACCCCAAGGAATAGCTGTTGCACTTAAAATGACTTGTTTTTTCCTGATTTACAGGAGTTGAGCCTCCTGACATCCCAGTGGAAGAAAACTAAAAGTTTCTCTGAGGTTGCTAAAACACCAAAATCCCCACAAAATCCACAGAAGGTATGTGGTCAGTGGTGGATCTATGTTTGTCTTTACTCCTCTTATTCCCCGCAGGATAATATTCAACAAAATGTCATCGTGTTTGTTGGTGGTTCAGCCAGACGCACTTGTCTCAGGTGCATTTTTAGTTGTTAAAAAAAAGGAAAAAAAGAAATGTAAATCTATGAAAGTGAAATATTTGCTGTCAGCTGTCTAACACAAGTCTTCTCTGTGCAGCTGCTTTTATTTGCATGGCATGGAGCATTAAGGTAATTCGATCATTTAAATTTCAAGGAAAACAACAACAGAACAGGAGTTTGTTCCATAATGGCTGTGTGGCTATCAGGATCCCTGACTGTCCCCACGTCATGCACTCCTCTTATATAATTCAAAAGCCACATGTTGTGATTTACTCATCCAAACGAAAACAGTGTGTGTGTGTGTGTGTGTGTGTGTGTGTGTGTGTGTGTGTGTGTGTGTGTGTGTGCATGGCACAAGGGCAGTCGTTGGTGGGCGGAGAGGGAGGGAGGTGGGGCGGATCCGTGAAACTGAGGAGACCTTAAAGCCCTCAGAGGAAGCAGAGTTCAGTCTTGAATCTGTGCGTGCAGCGTGAGTGAGCACAGAGCTGTCCAAGGTGCTGAAGGGCTACTGCTGCATCATCATCATCATCATCACCATCATTATTATTACACAGTCCTCACCTCAAGGTAAGTTCTAATCTCTTCTGATCGTCCTCCAGTTTGTGTTTCATGACAATGGTGACTGTGCTTGCTTCGTTAAACGTTTGTTTGTAGGAGTTATTGTGGTCCTGCATGTCTAACTTTTTAAATGGCAACGTCTGCGAGCTGTCAGAAACAGTAGCAGGTGTGATTTGTGAGTTCTTGTGTAACTTTATGACACCCTTTAAAACATGTTCAATCCTCTCTGTGCTACTTCTATCAATAATGTTTTAAAGGAACTATTAAGAGCGGGGCACCTTAACACCTCACATGTGATACAAAGATACAAACCATAATCCAGGCGATTTTCATCTTGTGATATATTCTACAAAAACATATATAGAAATATATTTATGAAGGTAGTTAATTCTTTCACTTCTCAACAATCCTGGAAAATTAGAGCTTTTTAAACCACTGCAATGTTCATCTTACGTCTTTGATTTTGAAAATCTGTGAAGTGTTTAAAAGTTACAGCGTAGTAAGAAGTTTTAAAAGAAGTTACAATCAAAAAATCCTTCACTGAAATTCAGTTAAAAACTTCTAATTTCACTCTGTTTTAAATTTTTAAATTCATTTAAATAATTTGTGTTTTAATATCCATTAAAAATTGTTACCTTTTAATGGAGAACAAAAAAATAATTGCATAAGAGGCCGAAGATGTTTTAGGGCTTTAATCATCTTGATGACACCAAACACAAGTTTAACAGCAACGTGCTCATTGTTGGGTGGAGATTGCTTCCCCTTTTCACAGTCTGACAGTCCAACTTTAAGGATTTACTCTAGTTTTCAGACAATATCCGTTTCATTTGTAGAAGTCCTTGACATTTTCAAAGCTGCTGTCATAATCCAGAGCCCTAAATTGGAGGTATTACAGGTATTAAAGGCACGAGGAATGCCATATGTCACTCAGTGTGTCGTCAGATTTCACTGGCACAGCTGCTTAGTGCTTTCATCAATCTCTTCTTTTCTTTTTTTTGCTTTATTGCTTAAAAAAAAAAAAAAAAAAGCTTCAGATTTTATTACAAATCTGGAGCCCTGAACTGTCCACACCAGGCTTTCATTTTGCTGTTTTGCGTAAATCAGATGGTCAGGCAATAAAGTGTGATTTATGTGCTGTTTAGGAACCAAAGCAGGTCTCGCTATGAAGATCAGTGATCCATGAAATTGATGTGGCTTATTCTTTTATATTCTTTAAAGCTTTTGTGTTTGCTTTGATTCTCAGGGAAAATGAATTTTCACCTGTGCTCTTGGATCTGTTGCTGTTTGTTTGTCATTATGACCTTGGCTAATCTGCAGAGCTGTGGAATGACCTAAAAACATAAAACATGACTTCTCTGGTCACATCTTTGAAACCCCAGACCTGCGACAGACCCACATATATGATAATCAGTGCTTTGTCTCACGCCTTGATTTAAATAAAGGTGGGGAAAGGATGCAAAGTGCTGAGTGATTCCTACCTCATGCATTTAGGAAACTGGTAAAGCTGTGCTCCAGAGAGCCATAACTTTGGTTGTGTTGCATAACTACTGGTTAAAGTGTATTTTGTCAGGGCAACTGCTCAAAAGGATTTAAGAGAAAGCAAATCTTTAACTTTTAAATCCAGTTAATCTTCTTTTGTGTTTACAGCCAGCTGCTAAAAATCAATCGAATCCTTAAAAAAATGGAAACGGTGAGAAACTGCTATCCCTGTTTTCATTATCAGCCTTTTTTCAAAGTGATTTCTGTCCTGCCGTGTAAACGTTATGTCCGCTCTATTGACTGCCGAGCCCGTCCTGCCTATTTAGCCTCTTTTCTTCTTCTTCTACACATGGCTATTCCGTGCTGTCCAGACCTGATGCAACCACAGGCCATTTGATAATTGATACTGAGGCAGGCACTTTCTTTCATTGTGTCCAAAGGTCCCCTATTAAACCTTCACTATGCCCTTAAGTCCCATCATTGGGTGAGCAAGAGTGCTATCAGCGTGTCTTTGTGAGGATCTGCGGGGTCTTAAGGAGGAAGAGGAAACCTCCTGGAATAGAATCTGCTGATGGGGGAATTCACCTATCGCAGGAAAATGTCTCTCCATTAAAGAAGCTGTGCAGGGTGTATCCATGCAAGAGTGCAGCAACTCCCTAAGGGTTTTCTCCATATTTCTTTTTCTTTCCCCTCATCAGTGCCTGATTTATTTATCTTCTACTAAGCTATATCTGAATTCAGGAGAGATTGTTTTTCTCACACAATTTTTTTTTGTGCTTGCAGGAAAACCCCCAAAATATTCACTTGGTGCCCAGAAACAAACAAATAAAATTTAACCCTGGTCGAATCCTGAATCAGTGGGTTTTCTCTACATCTAGGAAGTGCATACTGGAAATTTACTGAGTTTTTATTGCTTCTTTTTTCCTTTTAGGTATCCTGATGACTGAAACCCCAAATGAAAAAGCTCCTCGTGACTCCGGATGAAGAAATAGACACAAAAATACAAGCTTTGCTCAGTAACCAGGCCGACACAGTCAAAACAATTTGAATGCAAAATAATTCTGTGAAGCAGCACGACACACATCATTTCCAGCCAGCAGGCACTTTGATTGATCCATGGGACATCTTCAGTCACTCAGCTGAGATTTATACTCACTTTGTAATTACAATAAAGGCTTCCAGAGAGCTGCTATTGGATGACAGTTAAAATATTGACCAATAACGGAGGATTACACAGAATAAATAAATCAGGGACCTCTACTTTTGTATTGTTTAGATCTCTTGAGAACAAATGAGTGCTATATAGGGATCATGCCAACACCAGCCAGTTCAGTCTAATTTGCCATGCTGAGCATGCCCCAGCTTGCCACACCATTTACCAGAGGACTGATTAATTTGCACTGCTAATTTGTGCTATGTTATTTCTGTTGCCCTGCGGCTTGTGGAAAACACTGCATTTGAGCTCAGTCAGCTATTAGCTGCCAGATTTCACTACGTGAGCTTCCTCCATGTTTAGAAACCACGAACATTAACAAAGACGGCTATGTGGAGCAGTGCCACTCCTCAGAGCTTCTGACTGCAAAGAAACAGTCATTTAGTTAAGCGATTTCAAACTCCAAAAACATTCCCTCACTTCCAAGATGAGCAACACAAACTACTGGCTCATGGACTATGATGTTTCTTCTCCAGCTCCGCCCGGGTATCCCCGGGGCCCCACCGTGCTGCAGCCCGTGCCGGGTCACCCAGAACAAGGATCAGCCCTGTGTTTTGTTGGCCTCCTCGTGCTGCTGCTGCTCTTCCTCGTGGTTCGTTGTGTCCGCATCATTTTAGATCCTTACAGCAGCATGCCATCGTCATCGTGGACGGACCACAAGGAAGGTCTCGACAGAGCACAGTTTGATTACGCCATTGTGTAACAGCGGAAGCGGCTAGGGATGAGAGAAATATCCAGTGAAAAGCTCGGTTCCTGGTGTAAAAGGAAGCTCTCAGTCCTTATTGCATAACAATATGAAAGCACTGAACAGAAACCGTATGAGGGCAAAATGCAGCACAGCACAGAGAACAAGCAGAAACACCAGAAGCCCAGTTTCCATTTTACTTTACAGACATTAAGTGTGTGTGTGTGTTATGTACAGTGCTTTCAGTGACAGACGCTGCAGGAAGAGAAGGATCCATATCTCCGCATTTCTTCATGACTCGTGCTCATCATGTCATTTTATAATTCTATAATGTTTTTTTTTTCTTTTACAAATTCCAGAAAGCAGATCTCCGCAGGAGATGTCCTGATCAAATAAGAGAGAAACTAAATGAGTTTAGGATAGACATGGAAATCATTTAGACACAACTGCACTCACTTGCAAGAGCTTTAGAAAAAAGGAGCATATGCTTTCTATGATTATTAGGTAAAAGGCTGGATTAGTTTAATTGAAAAGATCAGGAAAGAAGGTCTGAGTTTGCTTGAAACTGTAAACTTGATTTTTTTCTAAATCAGCTTTGACTCATGCTGGACATTTGGTGGCTTTTGTGCCACCACTCTGATGACCCTCAGGTAAAGTTCTTGACCAGTTAACCAAAGCACCTGTTTTTAAAGATGTAATTTAGATTTCCTTCTGAAATTGAGCTTTAGCTTCTATTTATATCTTTTTCTTTTCAAATTCACTTTGTCCTAAATTCAATGTCTATAAAAGCTACATTTATAATGAATAAACATCACAAAATTTTCTTCGGGGTTTTGCTGTTTCACGTCACCATCCCTTTAAAAGGCTTATGAGGCTCACAGCTCTGATTGAATGTGTGTCATATAAAGTTCTGATTATGAAATGCAAGTGCACCAATGTCCTCCCGCTAATCCTTTTTGGCTTTAGGCCCCATCCAGTGAAACACCAGCCAAATCTGTTCAACAGTACCTGTAAAAATAGATCTATTTCATACTAATACTGCTCCTTTGGCCTCTTGTTTTATATTGTTTCTGTCCGTGTTATACTGTAAAGCCCTTTGAAACGTGGCTCTGAAAGACTTTATAAATAATGGCTAGTATTGATATTTCACTGATTTTTCTGTTTCCATAATGATTAAAGACTGAAATATCAAACTGCTGTTTGTGATCAAACTTACTGGACGTGCACACTCGCTTGTTAAAAAAAGAAGAAGAAAGAATGAAAGTGGAATTCATTTTTTAAAATGAAATAAAAGCTTTCGTCTTGCCCTGCTTTTAGAAACACTAATTCATTTACAGATCTGCAAACTGCACTTAACTACATGCACACAAATCCATGTCAGCTACTAACTCATACACATGAACCTTTCCTGTGCAAAGGCTGTCCTTGTTGCTGTGCTAAAATCGATAGCAGGAAGATTTAGTGCGAGGGACATCAATCGAATAATCAGTTAGGGGCTTGCAAAGAGATACACAGAGTAGGGTGGAACCTAATTGTACCAGATGAACCTCCAAATGAAATGTTTTTGCAGTGGCGTTCTTTCTAAGTTTCTAAACAAACCACTTTTTAGCTGCTTGCACAGTAACGTAGCTCTGACATGTATGACAGGAGATGTAGTTCAGTTTAAAACTCTTACTTTGAAATGATCAAAATGACATCATCACTCCGTAGAAACACTGTATGCTCACATGTCTAATACAGCTCTCCATCCTGCTAACATAATTAACAACCAGTCAAATACACATGCGCATATCTTTATATGTCATGTTCTTCTTATGCAACAGCTAGAAACTGATCATGTAATGTGTATAAAATTTAAAATAAACTGCCTTCCTGTACTGTGGCTATAACAAAGAGTTTTAGGACATTCAATGTGTGATTCGGTTACAGGGAGACGGCTGGACTTGTGATGAAAATTAATAGTATTCCTTCCCATGGATTAAAAAGACTCCATTTCAGTTGAGGTGGAATCATTTTTAAAATTACTTCCTGAAGGCAATGCCATTAATTTCCCAGAGGTTTCCTTTTACTTCCAACTTTCCCCTTCCTGTCAGATTTTCTGCTTCAGTTTCTGACCTCTCCTGGTTACTTGGAGAACAATAATCTATGTTCAAACAGCTTTGCAGCACCAAGGAAGCACACAAACAAACACACACACACATTTTGGATAAAATGGAAAATAAGAAACGTATAACATCTACAATCCTTTATTCAGAAGGATAAAATATAGACTCTCTCTGTGGACTTCATTTTGCCCGTGCTCTCTTCAAAGAATATAGAAAATCTGTATAGTACTGTATAGATAAAAAGCAGCACTGATCTAGGGTTTGTCTGCCTCTGGTCCACCACTTTGAGTGAGCATTAGATGAACTGCTGACAACCAGGGTGTCTAGAGGATTAATCCTAATGACTACTGTGATCCCCAGGGAGGCACAGTGGAGTGCTGGTTAGCACTGTTGCATCACAGCGACAAGGTCCTGGGTTTGAAACTATAGGATAGCTGGGGCCTTTTGCTGTGGAGTTTGTATGTCCTCTCTGGGCACTCTGGCTTCCTCCCAGCATGTTAGGTTAACTGGTGACCTGTCAAGGGTCTACCTTGCCTCTTGTTCTATGACATTTCAATTCATCGGCAGCCATCACCTCAGAGCACTTTATATTGTAAGGTGAAGAACCTACAATACAACAATGGGAACTGCTGGAGTCGTCATAAAATTTGGAGAGTGAAAAAGTTGGAAACATTGGAAACATATTAAAATAAGATGCTACTGCATATATGATCTCGTCCAGTGCTTTTAGCTTTTAGTTCAAAGTACCACTGAGCCAAATCCAGAGAACAGAGCTGAGATGTACAGCTGGAATCTCCCTGAACTGAACTGCTCACAGCAATTTATTAGTCAATATAGCTGCCTTAATTACTCAGTGGGGAACTTGTTAGAGATTTAGCACAAAGAGTGCAGTCAGACTTCTCTAACCTGACCAAAACAGTCCAGTGCAGTCCAACAGATGGTTGGAAACACTGTATAACAACCCCGACCTCATTAGTGTCGAACTGAGCTCGACAGATTTTGCTTCACTGAGTTCTGACAATTTACTTCCTTGCCAACACAAAAAAGGCATTCAGTTCCCTTCACCCTCCCGCAGACTGTCTGCAGAAAAACACATGTGCACATGCACACAAACATGCAAATACGTCTGGATCACACACACAAAACATTGCCTCAAATCTGGCTCAGGTGATATGACTGACTCTCATTTTAATATATTTCACGTCTGACCTTTTAACAGCTGTCCTTTTTTCCAGCTCAAGAACATACCAACTAAATGCAGATCAGATCAAACCTTCCTGAATATGCAAACATGAAATACACAGAAAAACACACCTGCGCGTACCAGGATTCCCACTGATTTACATTCATTTCTTTGTTTGACAGTTGACACCTAAAGCTTAACTTTTAAATATTTACATAATGGAAATATTTGAACTCTTAAAAAGGGGGAATTAAGTCTTTGGAGTGCAGCGCCACAAAGAGATATTATTAATATTGCATTAACACGAGTAACACAAGTACACCGGTGTTATACATACACTCATACACTTCAGTGAAGGACAGCCCACACCCAGCCACATGCAAATCATAGTAATTTGTCTGCTGCATAATGTACACAAACTCTCCCCTTACTGCCCGAACACAAGTCATTTAAACACCTTTTACCTGTATGTGACCGAATATTGCACCTATATGCCTGAGGCGTGACACACACAATTCTAGTGTGTCATGCACAAGCTTATTGCCAAACAGCTCCCCAGCTGAGCTGTTTGGCAATAAAGATCTGCACATTTGCATAACAGTGCTGATGTTATCTGCTAATCTTGGGACATGAGGAGTGTTGTCTGCAGTGCTTGAATGTGGAGGAGGACAGTGTGAGGAGGACCACAGTGTGGCTTTGGAAGAAGTGAACCATTTAAAGTTGTCCTGAGTTTTCTTAAGGGTAAAAGTTCAAAAGGTTTGCCTGCCAGCCTGTGCAGAGAGGTGTGCTTACCTTCGAAGCTCGTTGCAATGGGTTTCTGGAGCTGCTTTCCCAGAGAGAGCTGGTGACCCGGGAGAAGTCTGCCATGAGAATAATCTACTAAGGAGTAGAGGGAAATGTAATCAGGCATGTTTCCCATCCATGATATTCAATCAAGGATTTAATCAAACAGTTTTTACAGTAAAACAAAGTGTAATGAAATGGAATAGATCACAGCTTTTGTGCCATGGTTGCCCCAGTTTGTGTTATTCATATAATGGTTATATAGTGGAACATCATGACAGGTTAACAACTATAAGGCCTGATATGTTAAAAACCATGCACACTGAAAATAGGCCTATCCCTGCTTTCCCAGCTAGTAACCACTTATCCTTCTGCTTAAATTGTAGCAAGCAATCAGCAATAGCCTGCCCACCCACTATAACTTAAAAGGTAACCACAGAGCCCACTTCACACTGTGAATCATTCCCCCTGAGCCGGAGACACCCCTGGTGCGTCAGTCCCCCCACAGCTATCAATCATTCAGACAGACAGAGCAGACCGGAAGTCTTCACAATAAAGGTTCACTGCTACATTTTTGAACCTACCACGACCTGACTGTATTTGGCTGTATACAGGTCAAAAAGCATGAGGTGTTAATAAAATATGCTTACATTAATTAAAAATGATATTCAAAATAAATTAATAAATTAATAATAATAATAATAATAATAATAATAATAATAATAATAATAATAATAATAATAAATTTTATTTGAAAGCGTCTTTCAAAACACTCAAGACACTGTAGACAGCAGAATAATAAAAGCGACATAAAAGCAAACAGTTTACACAATCATAAAAGCATAAGACATAAAACAAATTGAAAATAGTAGAGTGAAGAGGTTACGTGCGATAAGCTATTTTGAACAAGTAAGTTTTCAGTTTGGACTTAAAGAGAGAGAAGTGATATTTCTTTATTTACTCTATATTTATACAAATTTATCGGGGGGGGGACACTAAAACGAAGTAAATAAACTACTAAAAGCTACAACATACTCTTCCGAGGGCTTTTACTTTTGAAGGTTGTCCCACAGCTTCCTTCCCCGCTTCATTTTTTTTAAAACCCCGTCTGACTTAACAACCGTTGCAGATCGATGATGACCGAGCGGCTCGGATCTGCTGTCGTCTTCAGGACACAGGAGCACCACGGCGCATCGTCAGCCACCCAGGGCTCAGCCTGAAATCTCGGTTTAAACTGGATTTTCTTTCAGATTCCTGCCTCATTAATTCGGTTTGTAATTCACACGGAGGTCCTGGTCGGTAGGTTTCTGCTCTGGATCCCGTTTCTTTCGGCGGTCTCATTGCAGCTTACTGCGTTTATCCATGGAAACAACCAACTGAAGTGCAGTCGGCTATTTCTCTGCACTTTGCTTAAAAGAGATCGTTATTCACCTGACCCGTGCTTTATGGTTGTTAGGATGATTAATTCTGATCTTGTAGGACAGGAATTTTCTTATTGTGGGACATTTTTATTTATTTAAGAGTTATTATTATTGTTGATTTTTGATAACATATTGTAGTTGAGGTGACAGATGTAGGATCATAGGATGCTTAGGATGCACCAACATAGTGCTCTTCTTGTTGTAGCTGCTGTCTCTCTCACGTGACACCTCACCTGCTGTTATACCTGGATGAATTCATATTTGTTTGCGCTCAAGCTTAACTGTGTGGAAACCTCTAATGTGTACTGTACATAATATAATTGGTTTGTGCATTTGTGTCTATGTGTGTGTGTTGTATATTGTATATTATTTGCCCTTCAGATTAGATGCCAAACTTAATTTCACAGTTTGAGTTATATACCTTTAAATGACAGTAAATCTAATCTATTCTTATTTTGTTCTGTCCACCATGTTCTCTTATTCTTCTTCACCTGTGCATCAGAAAAAAAATGGAGATGCTGCCTGATTTATGGAAGGAGGACTACTGGCTTCCTCCTGGTGTGACCTGGAGAGACATGGAACAAATGGGGGACTCCAACCGCCCCAGACCCCTGGACCTTCTCATCGCTCTGCCCCTCGCCCTCGGCTTCGTAGCCCTCCGCTACATGTTTGAAAGGTAGCACACAGGCCTTCTTTGTTTTGAAATGGGTGAGTGAGTGTTTGAGATAGTGAAGGGTCTGCAGCAGAGCACACAAACATTTCACTCCACTGAAGCTGAAACAGCACTTACAAGTCTTTTCGAAAATACAGCAATCATATGAAGTCGTTGTCACCACTGGGGAAAAAAGTAGTCGCACTGCATTTGCTTCCTATAGCCATCCACAGTATCAATAGAGAGGACTTTGTAAGAGGATCCGAGCTGTGGGACAGTGAGCAGGTGTTTTTGTGTTTTTGGTGAGTGGAGCTGGCATTGTTAGCATGGGGGGAGAAAGACTCTGGAAACTAGAGAGGAAGATAAACAGAAATGAAATGAGGGAGAAAATTAGAGATGTTCAAACCTAAATGAAGGTAATTTAACATATTAGCTGTGAGCAAACAAGCAGAAGATGCGTCAAGAGACTCAAATTGCTTGTTAATCATACTTAAGATGTCATGTGATTGTCAAATGATCTCATGTTCCTGGAGTGGAAAAAAATCATGCATGGCTATGATTAACTAATAAAAGCAGGCTTGTTTGCAGGTTTGTAACAATGCTTTAACCTAATGTTTTTTAACTGTTGTGTTGCTAAGTGAGTGGTAATACAATGCATTCATATGTAAGTGCAGTCACACGCTGGTCACCCAGCGCTCTATTTACAGCTAAACAGTGACTGCTACCCCGAGTATCCCCCGTCCTCTTTCTAAGATACCTTTTGTTCTCTCTGCCCTCAGGTTTGTTGCCCCACCCATGGCCAGGTGTCTTGGGGTGAAGAATAGATTTCAAGTGACCGCTGCACCATCGCCGAATCTGGAGTCGTTTTACATCCAGAACAGGAGAGAGCCGATACAGGTGAGCCTGAGGAGGCCTCTGCACGCATGCAAACACGTGGCTTAGTCTTTGAATTTGTATTTCTTTAAAGTCAGGTGTTTTTCAAATGATTAAACTGGCGTGTTTTCATTTGAAAGTTAAATTTGTGTGTAAAAGCACTTTGTTTTCCCTTTCCCCCACAGCATTAAACACACAACCCCACAAGGTCATCTTGTGACCTTTCACAGGCTTCTGGCTAAATAGAAATGAGTCCAGCAGACATTTGCTTTTGCTCTAAAGACTGAAGAAATATGGAGGGTCAGCTTAATGACTTATTGGCTGAAAACTGACAAAAAGCCTCATAACTTAGAAACGGTGCACGGTGGCACGGTGGTTAGCACTGTTGCCGCACAGCAAGAAGGTCCTGAGTTCAATTCCAACATCAGGCCGGGGTCTTTCTGTGTGGAGTTTGCATGTTCTCCCTGTGTTTGTGTGGGTTCCCTCCGGGTACTCCGGCTTCCTCCCACCGTCCAAAGACATGCAGCTTGTGGGGATAGGTTAATTGGATAATCCAAATTGCCACTAGGTGTGAATGTGCGAATGAATGTGAGTGCGAATGGTTGTCTGTCCCTGTGTGTTGGACTGGCGACCTGTCCAGGGTGTACCCTGTCTCTCGCCCTATGACAGCTGGGATGGGCTCCAGCGCCCCCCGCGACTCTGAAAAGGATAAGCGGAAGCGAATGGATGGATGGAACTTAGAAACTATGATTCTTACAAGTGTGGTGTGTTCTTTTAACATATAGACAAAGACTTGAAATAGCAGGTCACATTTGACCTCTGACCCCTGTAGATTGATCTGAAGGTCAACATGTTAATAATGCTATATAGAGCTATTTAAAACTATGCTTCTTTCTGCCATTGTTTCCACTGTAGGCATATAAAGAATGATATGTAAATATCACATTATTTTTTATGACTTTGTTATGTACAATATAGTAACAGGTTATAACTTTTAAAATACTGTTTAGATACATATAGAAAGTTTCTGACTAAGTTTATTTTGTTTTTGGAAAGCAAAATGAACATGTGATCAAGATTATTTAAACAAATTTCACTAAACAATGAAATGAATGCTACATATGTAAACATTAATAAGAAATAATAAAATAAATATACTCAAAAATGATGTCAACTATATTCAAATGGGTTTGAACAGGAGAAATAAATCGAAGCCTGCACGTCGCACTTACTTTTACTGCACTACAAACTTCTTAAAGTACGTTTTAAAAGAACAATACGAACACGTTGCATTCGAGCGTTGCTTGCTCCACCTCAACTCATTCTGTGCTGTTTTTTGTTTCAGAGTGAAATGGAAGGCTTGATGCTGTCGTGCCGCAAAACGCAGAGACAAATAGAGACGTGGTTCAAGCATCGCAGGAGCCAAGACAAGCCGTCTAAAACCAAGAAGTTTGGTGAAGCTGCGTAAGTATTTCCCCTCCACGCCTCCGTCATTGTCCAGTTACTGATGAGTTCCTTCAATAGAAGATCCTCCACCAGTCTCCACAATGACCGATCCTGGAAAAGCTCGCAAGAACTCTGACACTGTCCAAAGCTTTGGCTGGTTACATTTTTAAAGTGCTTTTTTAAATGGCCAGAGTTTCTCATCTCAGTCGCTGTCTTTCAGTTGGAGGTTCTTCTTCTACCTCACAGCTTTTGTGGCTGGATTGTCCTGCCTGGTTGATGTGAGTGACAACATTTTATAGCAATGACATTTTACTCCTACTATTGATGCTAAAACAATAAGTGAGTGAAAAAAAATCAATTTAACCTTTGTGTTGTCCTGGGGTCATTTTTGTCCCAAAAAGAAATCTTTTGCTATCAAAAATGTGTTTTTTATTCATTAAATGGTCTGAAAATAAGTGAAGTTATTCAGTACTATGCTATGCATGATTGGAATAAGTTGGAATAAGTAATTTGATTTATTTATGGGGGTTTTATTGGATTTTGTAACACCTGTTGTCCTTGGGGGTCAAAAACGGCCCAAAGTAAAAAGTGTTGCAAAGGGCCATATTTTCATACCATACTGCTTTCAAACATCTTGGATCACTGATGTGTGGGGTCATGCAATGCTCATAACAACAACAACAAAACAGGAAGCACAATGAGGAGGCAGGTGCTCTACATTTAATTCAATTTTAATTATACAGCACCAAATCACAACAACAGTCGCATCAAGGTGCTTCATATTGTAAGGTAGACTCTACAATAATACCTACACAGAAATTATCTCACAAGCCTCCATTGCACTGGAGGCTTGTGAGATAATTTTTTTTACCATGTTGTGGAAAGGAATGACCAGTAAAGAAATGCACATATTGTCCTCTAGTGTAATGAGGAGGGAGAATCAATGTTCAGGAAGATCCAGGGTTAGAAGATAAAGAAAATATTGCCAATATTTAGATCAAATGCTACCTTTTCTCTGAAAAATCACATCACCCACCTGCAGAAGTGGAAGAAGGCTATGAAGTGAAGGAAAGTGATGAAGAATCTGAAGTATGTTCAAGTAGGTTCTCAGGCATCCAGAATGTGGTAGTCTGAAGAGCTTGGAAAGAAAGTGACTGGGCTTCTTGAAGTTTCTTGAATTTTCAGAATGTGAAACTAAAATAGAAGATGTGTCAGAGGACTACACATCTTCTATTTCAATTATGATGAAGATCAAGCAAGAACGAGGAGTCAGCTGAGACAGGAATATTTGCAGTAATATGAGGAAACATTGATCTGGTCTTCTATCCTTCCCAGTGACAGACGATGCAGGACTCTCTCGTGCGTCACAGAGAAAGACAATCTACCACGGCACATATGCCAGGTCCCATACTGATTACCTAAAATCCTCAGATTGCTTTTCTACGCGAGCGCTGAAAGCATTATACACCATGTATTCTGCTTGTATTATGCTTTTTAACGTTCACATGCCAATGGATGCATCAGAGACCAAGTTGGGGTTCAGTAACGTGTCCAAGGACACCTTGGTAAGAACTCCAGACTAGAGCACACAGAGATTGAACCAACAACCATCCAATTAGCAGATGACCTGCTCTACAGCCAACTCAATGATGAACAAGGAGGGACAACAAGAGAGGAAGAAAAATGGATCAAGAGCAGCTGTAGGCATATGTGGGTGTGTTGATTCTTACTGCCGTGCATCCAGTAGAGTCGCTACGGCCAGTTTATGACATCCAGAGTCTTTTAGGGCAGTTTTCATGCTACCGTGACTGACACAAGATTAATCACAGAATCGCAAAA